CATCATCATCATCATCATCATCATCATCATCATCATCATCATCATCAAAGCAATATTCAGTATTCTGTGATTCTCCAGCTGGACTTGCATGCTTTCTGCATTTACTTTCCGACACTTTTGACTATGACTCGCTCTCTTCTTCGCTCTAGCAGCTATCGCCCCAGGGCTGGTAGAACTCAAGCAAAACCCGGAGCGCCCCCGCCCAAAACAAGAACCTGGTGGGTTGACCACCAGTAGTTCACCATTGTGTTCACCCACTCGGTGGTCAAGACCTTACCACAGCATACCGAAAACCAGGTCGATTCGACCTGTAACTCGATGCCGCAGTCACGGCTGGGCTTGGAAGGCTTGGCGGACACCGACTTCACCGCAGAAGTGGCTGTAAGGTGCAGGAAGACCTGGGGAGATTAAATCAAGAACACCGGCCAGGGTTTAGGGTTTAGGGCAGAAGTCTTGAGGGGTCTGGAAACTGATTCCAAACGGACGGAGCATGGACATTACAGCGACCACCGTCCGAGAGAAGCGAAAGACATTTGAGGTGACCGATGTGAAGACAGGGTCAGGGAGAAACAAAAACCAAGGATCCTTTTTTTCAAAGGAGCTTCAATTCATCGAGTTTGAGGGAGAGAACCCATGTATTCTCTACTCTACAGTACATCTACTTTGTGCCAGGTCAAAGGGATCCTCAATCAAATTACAGTACTTCGAACCCCTGCCTCATTGGCTTCTGTGGTCTGACCGTCACTCTTCAGGAATTGATCTGTGGTGTCTCCTTAGACCCTGCGGTGGTTTGTTCTCTACTTTTGGACACAAGTATTTTCACAACGACCTCTGCTCAGAATCAATCCATGCATGTGGAACAAGTGCAGATTCTCAACTTCAGTTCTGAGATCCTCATCTTCAAACCATAGAAACACTGAGTTCTATTGGTAATTAATCACTGCAGATCAGGTTGCCCGAATCGGAGGCAACCAATAGTGCAGGAGTTGGAGAAAACCCTTGGAGGTGTCTGGTCTGTCCAACAGAACCAACTCTAAGTGCTGACCTCTGGTCTTCCTGTGTTTCTCGTCCATAGGCCTCAGCATCTGGGATCTGCTGCAGCTGCAGCTTTGCCATCCATCCACTTCCCGCGCGCGGGGCGCCACAGCCGCACCACGGCATGGTCACCTGCAGTGCGGAAGCCGCGCAGTGCGGAAACCGCGCTGTGGTTGGCAAGGGAAAGCTTTTGGACATCCCTGGACTGGTGCACTGGGTCATTTCATGGCAAGTGTTTGACTTTTCGTCATCATCATGCTAACTCAAGACCACATGTTGTTGGAAATCACGTCATGACCCGTGTTGACGAACTGAACATCGCACGGTTCAAACGCTGCAACCATCTTCAAACTAAAGGGATGCCTTGCATTCATCACCCCTATTCCTGAGCTCAAGTGACGCTCCTGAGCACAAACCAGAAGGGTCAAGGGTCCATCCACATGTCAATGACCAACAACTGACTGGAGCCTTGACCACCCCGACCTCGGAATCCTGTGATCGACCCCCAAATGCTCCACCCCCCATGCTCCGGTCGCGAGTTCTCACACTCGTTCTCGGAAACCGAGCGGCGATGCGGCTGGATCCGCTGAAGATGGGGAACTCCTTCGATCTGCGCCCATCGGCCGAGTAGAGGAGGTCCAAGGTGATGTCTTGGCCCAGCAAGTTAACGACTCGGAGCTGCGGCTGTCCTGGGACGATGCGGGCCAAACGACGGGACGAGGTGATTCCGGACGATGTTTGGGCAAACATGAGGCACCTGCAAAGCGTTCGAAGCAGGAAGTGAGAAACGTGATCGCCAAGAGGCTGGAGGAGATGCTCACTTGCCTCTTCAAGCTTCTGCCCTGAGTGGAAGGACGCGGCGCTCAACTCAGGAACGGAGAAGGCACAGGTGACTGGCGTTGAGAAGAGTCTTGATAATTAGATCCTATACCTCGCAAGACTGGAGATTCATCCTGCAGTTTAAAGTCATCTAGTGACATTTTTGTGGAGCACTGTTGCGATGGCAAAGGTCTAAGTTTATGTGTTATATATATATCGATCTGTACATATTAAATGCAATGAAATGTATACGGCAATTATATAAAACAATCCATTGCTTAAACTTTTAAACCACATCACCCGAATTCAACTCACCAAACTTCCCAAATTCAAAACATCTCAACACTCAACACCTTGCTCAACTTCATCCATCTTCATCCAGTTCTTCTCACAATTCCATCCAACTCCCGAAGTTCACCTTTGCCCAACCTGGCCTGACTGTTCAGCGACTCCTCAGAGCTTCGCGCCACCAGCATCGCCGCACTCGCCTCCAGATCCGCCGCACTCGCCGCCCGCGTGGCCTCCAGCGTCTCCGTCGGCGGCAGCAACCCCAAACGCTCCCGGCGCTCGGGTTCCACCACGTCGTCCGGGCGCGAGGGAGAGGGCGAGGACGCGCCTGGTGCGGGTGGGAGGCGCGGTGGATGACGCGCGGGGGGGACTTGTTCGTTGCATTCCAGGTTGCTTTTTGCTGAGATGAGATTCATCAAAAGGAAACCCAGAACATGTGGCAAAGGTGTGCAATCTTTACGCTCCATAGATACATGATCATCATTCCTACTTGTTAGAGATTATGCTAAACAATTGTTCTTCTTCTACGACATAGCAATCATAAAGCCCACTGAAAAGGGACAATAGTGGTGGGTGAATATCACCCTTCTGACCCAGCTACTAGCAAATCCTCCCCAAAGCCGAAAAACATCGACACACCTGCGGTTCGCTCCATGGCATCGTGGTAGAGGCTCACGAGGGTGTCGATCAAGGAGGAGCTCAGGTTCAAGTTCACCCATGAGACCTGTCGTGACTGCCGTGTTGAATGCAGTTAGCTGCATATTATATTGGATATGTTTGAAATCGTTACTTTAGGGCATGAGCTGCAGGTCTCGTGCGACTCGAGGTTTTGGCCCGAGAGGGCAGGGGCCTCCGTGCTTTCACGAACGTGCTTCTTTGTGGGCCACGGGGCGGTTTACGCGTTGGGCGGTGGTATCTGTCCATATCGAAGACTATCCATATCTTTACATACATTGACCCCTTTTCAACCACCCCAATGTAGGTAAATATATGTAAATATGCACATGGATGGTCTGGGTCTGATCTATCAATCCTTCCCCCATCTCCAGGCTGCGGGAGACATTTTCCACGTCCTACAGGTGGGGTTTCTAACGTGTCAAATGGAGACATGGAGTGGTGAAGACCGTTGAGGATCGAGTAATAGACTCCATCATTCAAGTCTTTGTTTGTTTTTTTTTAACTCTGAGACATCATCCCCTGTCCCAGAATCAGAAGTGTTTCAACTCTCACAGAAGTAGGGGAGCATCCTGGATATCTTGAGATGTCTTGAGCATGTTGAGCCAAAGGACATCTGTGTTTGAACTGCAACAGCGACACCAACATCTCCGGTGGAACACAGTGACGTGTTCTACAGCGGCAACAACAACCTAATGGACCCCGCGTCTTGGGTATGGCAACCAGTGGTTCCGAAGACTAAGCACATGTAAAAACACACACACCTCTAGAGTTTCTTGCTTCGTTATATCGTTTTTGGGGATCTGTAGGATCCAGTGGGCCAACTGGCGGCAGTGCAACCTAGACTTCTTGAAAGACACATACGAACCTACACTCCTACGAACCAGAATCCCGACTCCTCGCGCCGAACAAAAGGCCACAGTTGTTGAAAGCAGAGACCAGCTGTCCAGGGACACAAGCTGAGTCAACTTAACCTGTGCTCTCTGACAGACTAGTAGCTTCTTGTTCCTAGTAGCGATGGCCTCCAACCTACTTGCGATGGCCTCCACCTAATAGCGTCCTTGTTACTAGTATAGGTAAAACAAACTCGGGAGAATCAGCTCATGCATCGCTCTTTTCCTCAAAGCCAAACCATGTTTGGTCAACACTGCTGGGTTTCTCGCATTCTCTTCACGCGCCAGCGGCTGTGTGAGAGTATGTGCCAGCGACGGTTGACCGGTTTCTGTTCTTCGATCGTCTGCAGATCGCGCCTTGCAAGTGGACGGCTGATGCTTGATGCCTTTGAAGAGGTTGAACATGAAGCACACCTCCACCGCTGGAAACGGCTGGAAAAGCGGGGCTCGTGGGTCATGTTTGCACATGGAAGGAAACCATCAGAAAGGGTGGCTTGTTCTATGCAAATCTCATGCCTTTGCCAGAAGCCTTTGCCAGGACATGTAAACGTAAGAGAGTGGGCTAAACCCAGATCATGGAGATATACTGCGTAAAGAAAACACAGTCTCACGGATGCGTTCAT